CACATTTTAATATGGGCAAAATAGTTGAACAGATACCTCACTAAAGAAGATATTCCACTCCTAGGTATTTACCAAAAAAAAAAAAAAAAAGTGAAAATATAGTATAACCAAAGATTTGTACATTAAATGTTTGTAGAAGCTTAATTAATAACTCAAAACTGTAAATAATGTAAAAATTACCAGCAGAGAATAGATTAACAAATCATGATGCAGTTATACAATGGAATACTACTTAGTAATACCAAGGAATAAATTAATACACTAGAAAAAATATGCTGAAAGAAGCTAGGTGTAAAAGAATACAGACTTTATTATTCCATCTATATAAAGTACTAGAAGAAGAAATAGGATGCTAATATGTAGAGTTGGGGGAAAAGAGATTTCAGATGGAACTAATTGCCTGAGCAAAAGCAGAATAAGGGGAAACCATGGGGCTTCTCCTGAAAAACTTTGCAAGTTTGATTTGACTGGTAAATGGGGAAGATGGAGACTGAAAGTTAGGGTCTTAACTTAAAGCTGTTGGACACGATAATACTTAGGCATCTGGACTTTGTTCTCTTGCACATTAAGAGTTAACAGTAATTCCTGAACCTCCTTATTGAAAACTTTGTTTCTTTTCTTGGCCAGAATTCTCTGTTGCTAGAGGATGAAGTAAGAGAGATCATGTATTTAAGGGTCTTAGTGTGTTTCATAGTGTGCTCTCAATGAATGTTTTGAACACTTACCATCATCTAGTATTTGTTTATTGTCTGTTGTGGGAGGCTGAATGATGGCCCCACAAAGATGTCCGTGTCTTAGTCTCCAAAACCTATGAAGATACTGCCTTGCATAGTAAAAGGGCCTTTGCAGATTTGATTAAATTAAACATCTCGAGGTTGGGAGATTATACTGGATTATTTAGATGGGGCCAATCTGATCATAAGGGTCCTTATAAGAGGGAGGTAGGTGGGTCAGAGACACAGAGAAGGTGATGCAACGGCAGAAGTGGAGAGATATTTGAAGGTACTATGCTGCTGGCTTTCAAGATGCAGGAAGAGGCATGAGACAGAAGTTGCAGGCTGACTTTAGAAGCATGAAAAGGTAAGGAAACATTCTTCGCCGATGGAACCAACTCTGCTGACACCTTGACTTCAGCCCAGTAAGACTAATATGGACTTCTAACCTCCAAAAGAGAATAAAGTTAGGTTGTTTTAAGCCACTAAGTTGTGGCAATTTGTTACAGCAGCAATAGAAAACTAATACAGATTTTGGTACCTGGAACTATCTCTCTTTCTGTCCCCCTTTTCCTTCAGTTCTACGGCTGCGTTTGAGACATTAACAGGAACAGGACTATTATTCTTGTCTAATCTTGACTAGAGTCGATGAGAAAGGTACCCCCAAAAAGAAGCAAGATTGAAGAAAAGATGAGTTACCAGACAATTTTTCTGTCCCCAAACTATGAAACAACTCTGCTATAACAAATTCTACAATCATGTAAGTAATTTGGATTTGGGTAATGGGTAGAGACTGGAAGAACTTTCAGGAACATGATAGAAAAAGTCTAAATTGCCTAAATAGATTGTTAGTAGAAATATGGGTGTCATGAGGGCTCAGAAGAAAGTGAAGAGCATGGCGGAGAACACCTGTATCATCTTAGAGAAAACCTAAATCATCATAAACCATTTGTAGAAATGGAAGTTAAAGGCACTGCTGGTGAGAGCTCAAAAGGAAATGAGGAACATGTTTTTAGAAACTGGAGGAGTCTTGTGACATAGTGGTAGAAAGCTTAAATGACTTGTGTACCATAGTCATGAGAAAACAGAGCTCGTAAGCAATGAACTTGCATATTTAGTTGAAATTTCCAAGCAAAGCGATGAAGGTATGACTTGTTTTTTTCTCGTTGCCTTTAGTAAGATGTGAGTGAAAACAGATAAATTGAAAGAACTATTAAAAAATGGAACCAAGACTTGATGATTTGGGAAATTCTCAGCCTATTCAGATCACAAAAGATGCTAAAAGTTAAGAGATCCACCACAAGGAAAGCATGCTCTGGTGAGAAAGCAAAGAACGTGGCTGGACATACTTCTTTTAAAAATTTTTCTTTTAAATAATTTAAATTGTGGTAAAATATATATAACATAAAATTCATCATCTTAACCATTTTTAAGTGTCAAAAGTCTGCTGCTACTGCTTGGGAACTACAAAAGGTTACAATATTCAATCACTTCAAAGAGGGCTCTTTGAAGAGGCACATGACTCATGGATTCCCTCAACCATCTCAGCAGTAGCCAAAAATAGAGATGGGATTATTCAGGAAAGATCTGTGTAGGAATATCTCTTTTAGTTGAGTGAATCCCTATGACCCACAAAGTTTTTGAAAATGTTATGCTAACAGAAACACCACCAGGTTAGACTAACTGGGACAGAGATGTTGAAATGAAAGAAGACAGACGAGCTTCCAAAATTCTACAGGTAGGAAAACAGGCTGATAAAATTATTCCATGGCAGACATATGCTACTCTTCATCAAAAAGGATGGCTTTAGGGGTGGAGCCATGGAAACAGGGCAGATGCTGGAAGCCACCCAAGTTATTTCAAATATTTGAAACCTAATGGAGTTTCTCAGTTGGATTTTGAAAGTGATTGGTGGGTGACTCCTTTTTGCCTTTCATTTTCTCCCTTTTTGAATGGGAGTGCCTATGACTGTTATCCTGTACCTCACCCACTGTTTGGGAGCACAAAACTTGCATTCTGATTTCATAGGTCCACAGATTAAGAGAATTTTGCTCCAGAATGAATTATAATCCAGAGTTGCACCCATATCTAATTCAGATATGAGATTTGGGACTTTTGAGCTGGTGAGACTTAGATCTGAGATTTTGGACTTGAGCTGATGTTGTAATGGGTTGAGACTTTGGGGGACTGTGGGATGGATGAGAGTCTTTGGGGGCCAAGGGTGGACTATGGTAGGCTGAATAATGGCCTCCCCAAATGGCCTCTTACATCTTACTCCCTGAAACCTGTGATTATGTTACCTTACATGGTAAAAGAGATTTTTGCAGAAAAGACATGTATTCACTGAAAGACACAAAACCTCTGAATCAGAGACACAGCGTATCATTCATAGCAAAAATAGCAGCCAGAGCAGCACTGTATGTCAGTTCTCCAAGCTCCAATTCCCACAATGTGATACAATAAGGGCCAGGTGTTACCTCTGCATGCAGTGGGTTGCACCACAGAAGGGGAATCCCAAATTTGAATAGACTCTAGGCTTTTATGGGGCTGCTGGCATGACTGCCTATCTTTCCCTACAAAAAGAGATTACTCATTATTCCTGGAATATAGGCAAATATCTCTGGGAAGGGAAAAGAAAAGGCTTTATCTTTACTTTCCTGGGATATCTCTATGGGAGAAGATATCTCCAGCTTACCACCCTGGAATGTGTTCTTTATACATTCTCAACTTGGATGCAAATAGCTTCCTTCAGAGGACGTGTACAGACATGTGAGCAATTCACAGAGAATTATTTCCCAACACTTTATTTCAAGCATTAAAAAGGGGGGCGAGGAATCTGTTACCTTCAGTAGAATAGAAAATCTGAAAAATCAAATTTTACAATAATGCTAAGTATGGTAGCAGATGGAAAGGAATTGCTACCCTCTTTGATTTTAAAGAGAAGGGCCATGACAAAAGAACATTGCCTAGTGGGGTCAGAGAGTACACAAAAAAAGGCAGAAGTTGAAATTAGTTTGAAGAAGACATATTATGCAATATGTGTTGCTTAATCATCAGCAACAATGTGAGGAAGCAACATCAATCAATGCCATATTCGAATGCTTATAGAAGTTATCTGACAAAATCAGATTTTAAAAAGTAAAAAGACATTTGCCACACATTTAATTATTTCTGGGAATATGATTGCAAATTAAAGATGTTAGATATCATTGATTCCTTTGTTATTTGTCAAATGTATACCGAATACCCACTTACTATGTATCACGCAAATGGACGTTATCTTTGCTCCTACGGAGCATTCATCCCAGGGTGGCAGAATAACAGTTAGCAATCAAATTATTAAAAACTATATACTACAAAGAAAATGAAAAAATAAAAGGAAGAATATTGGAGGACTTACCCTCAGTGGTTACTTTTGGAAAGTAACATTTAATTCAGTTTTATTTTAAGAATTTAAAATAGAATCCTAGCACTCTGGGAGGCCAAGGTGGGTGGATCACTCAAGGTCGGGAGTTCGAAACCAGCCTGAGCAAGAGCGAGGCCCCGTATCTACTAAAAAAATAGAAAGAAATGATCTGGACAGATAGAAATATATATATAGAAAAAATTAGCCGGGCATGGTGGCTCATGCCTGTAGTCCCAGCTACTGGGGAGGCTGAGGCAGAAGGATCGCTTGAGCCCAGGAGTTTGAGGTTGCTGTGAGCTAGGCTGACGCCATGGCACTCTAGCCCGGGCAACACAGTGAGACTCTGTCTCAAAAAAAAAAAAAAAAAAAAAAAAGAATTTAAAATAGTAGCCAGAGTGAAGTCTTTTAAAATCTAATTCAGATCCTGTCTCTCCTGTTTAAACCCTTCAATTGTTCGCTATTTTACCAACAAAAGCCAGACGCCCAATAATGGCCTACAGAATCCTTCATGATTTGGGACCCCAATACTTCCCTGACCTCCCCTCTTGCTACTCTTTCCATAGCACTTATTTTTTAAATATTATAAAACCTGCTTATTGTGTTTATTGTCTATCTCTCCTTGCCAGGATGTAAGCTCCACTAGGGAATGATCTTTGTTTTGTTCCTTTTGTATCTCAGTGTCTCTGGTATATTTCCTGGCCTCTAGTTCATTAAAATTTTGTTCAATGAACATATATCACAATTTTATTATTTAAATATAACAAAATTGAAAACGTAACAAAGGCATCACATACACTGTTATATTAACATTTAAATATAACATAGAAAAATACTACAAAATAAGAAATACAAAAATGAAAACTAGGTAAAATTTTATTTAATATGATGGGTGTGCTTGCCTGTTTATAAGTTCATTCCAGTCGGGAACACAGGAAGATAATGCTACCCGCATATCTGATGCACCATTCAGCCCATTTCTTTCCTTTGTTTTTAACTGGGTTAAGATAGAAAATCCTAGTTCACACAAACTAGTTGTTGTGAAGGGTAGTAAGAGCAGGACACTCTTTCTACTTAGCAAAGGAAAGTCTTCCTTTATCTTAATCCAAAATGTTGATAAACTTAAGGTCTCATAATCATTCTTCAATGTATATGAAGAACTAAGCTGCAATAATTCATTCTCTTCTTCAGGCACCAAGTTTAGCTCAATTATTGACTCGGGGTTTCGAAAAGCAAATGGATCTTTTACCCAACTGTTTTCCCTTAATGTTTCAAATTTTTCTTCTGGAAAGAAATGGTTAAAAGTTTGAGATAGAGAAGTGAGATGCAACAATATCTCTAATTTTATTTCTTTCAAAATATTTTCATTAACAATATTCTCTTCGATATGTTGCAAAAATTTTGGAAACATATAGTAGCTAGGACGATTACTTTTAAGCCTTGCTTGCCATAACAATAATGTCTTTCGGAATCCTTGTATACGTTCAACATGTTGGAATATATCACTGTTTTTCCCCTGTAGTTTTAAACTCAGTTCATTAAGAATGCCAAAAATATCAGTTAAATATGCCAATTTTATGACCCAAATATCATCTTCAAAAATATTTGCCAAATGAGATTTCTTTTCAATTAGAAAAATGTGAATCTCATTCCTGAGTTCATAAACCCTGCTTAGTATTTTCCCTTGAGACAACCAACGAACTTTGGTATGATATAGTAAGTGGGTATGATTAGTTCCAATCTCTGAACAAAATGTTTCAAGAAGTTGGCTATTCAGTGAGCTTCCTTTAATAAAATTAACAACTTTCACTGCATTTTTTAATACTTCCATGAGATTCTGTGGCATTTCTCTGGATGCTAATCCTTCACGATGTATAAAACAATGATTCCACATAGCACCATTATTAGTAACTTCTAGCAGTTTTTTAATTACTCTGCTATGCTTTCCAGTTATGCTTGCTGTTCTGTCACTTGTAATTCCTTTATAGTTTTTCCAGTTTAACTTATATTGGCCAACAATGCACTTTTCTAATTCTGTAAAAATATCTAATCCGCTTAGGTGTGAGGTTAAATTTAAAAAACACAAAAAATCCTCCATAAAATCATCTTGCCACACATACCTGACATAAACTAAAAGTGTTGCACAGCTTCCAGTATCGGTGCTTTCATCAAGCTGGATTGCAAAATCTATACCAGACTGTAACCGAGTAATTAGCATTGTTTCTAAATGTTCGGCAATAGTACAAATTCGAAGAGATACTATGTTATCACTAGGTATAGTTTTTAATTTATCAGCTGATTTATCATCAAAAATTGTACGCACCATATCCAAACATGCTGGAAGAATAATTTTTTCAGCAGCAGTATGAGCCATTTTCTCTTTTGCCACACGATATGCAACTAAATATGATGATAATAAGGCTTTCTCACTAACAGTAGTAGAACTAAGAAATTGTGTTGATAACTTTATGTCTTTTTTCTTTCTTTGAAAATATTCAAGAGGCTTATCAATAAGTTCAGCATGCTGAGTTTCTAAGTGCCTTTTTAATTTTGAAGGCTTTAAGCTTTCATTTGCAAGAATATTATTACAAATAACACACTGAGGTCTGTCATTTTCAAAGGGTTTTTCACATTTGATAAAACCATATTTTAAGTAGTCTTCATTATAACGTCTTGCACTTGTTTTTTTCTTTTTGAAATGCGGCTCATATGACGCTGAAGTTTGCAGATTAAAGTCAGTATTTTTCTCAATGTTGTCACTATTCACACTTCCAGATCCAACAGTTGAACTTGAACATGTTTCCGCATATTTCACTTCATTATTCCTCTTTCTTTTAATAAAGAAATGATCCATTTTAAAGTACTATATTCCAGTTTGATTAAAATGTTATAATTGCTACTAACTCAAAAAAAGAAAAAGACTAATATATATAAATATGACCTACATAACATCGTTTCAAAAAATGCAAAGTTTACAACTGAATCTCAGTTGAATATCTCAGACTTCACATTTAGCTGCAAGTCATGGTAATATAAAACTAGACAGTACAACATTAACCTTGCTACTATGAAAACCAAACAAGACACCTATGAGCAAATGACTGAAAACCATTTCTTAGCCAATATACATTCTAATCATAATATTCCCTCCATCAAATACCTTTCTTACATATTGAAATTGACCTCAGTATTCCTTGCAATGTGTGTAATTCAGGCAAAGGAGTCTGATATTTTATATTTTATTTTGTTGTTTTTTTAAAATGTTCATTGTGACTCACAGAATTGATTTCATGACCCACTAATGGGTCACATACAGTGTAAAAAACATTGATATAGAGACATTTTGTGCCCTCTGCTGTGTTCATGACTTGAGTATGTCTGTTTGTTGATGAGAGAAACTAGCTGATCTGCTAGACTGTTGCCTTATACAGGAACTTCTTGAGGTGGTAGGAATATATCTTAGATTTTCATTCTTGATACTTTTTCATGGGAAGAACTTTTAAGAGTGCCAGTTACGGTCTGATCTACTGAGGATCCAATGAGGTTTTCCATGGCTAGGTCAACTATCAGGTTGGAGCTGATATATTTTTATGGAACTTTCTTGGAATGCATCCTTGACCTGGGAAGAAGACCAGAGACATGACATTAAAGGATCACAATACAGAGTAATATTATTGCCAGCTATGGGGACATTTATGATGTCCATGATCATGGGTGGTGAAGCAAAAAGCCTATATAGCTCTTCTCATCGCTGCCTTATATGGGCTTAGGCATATTTCTGCAAGGCAAACCACCTTACTAAAATTGGTAAGTAGAAAAATGTCACTAAAACCTGGAAGTCATTATCAGGAGTTGCAAAATACATTAACAAAGCTGAATACAGCAAACCATGGAGGAATATAGCCTATTTGCCACATACACTTCCTTTCAGCTTGGTCATGCCTATCTGGGAAGTACATATTGCACTGCTCTCTTTGATCTTAGCATATGAGTCTTATGACCGTAACACAGCACTTTCAACCCTTCCTTACCCACCTTTCCATCGAGTTATATCACTTTTTTGGGGGATGGGGGACAAAGTCTTATATTTACTATAGTTTTATTTATTAAGAATTCAGTATGTCTTAACTGTGGGAATACTATACTTTTATTGAGACTGTTTATATTAACTATATTTTATTATTTTCTGTATTCTTGATGTTCTGGAATCTGAGTGGGGCCTCAATGACTGGGGAGGTACTGTTTCTCCAAGAATTAACTAATTCTTATGCAAAATAACCAAGCCAGATCCCCCCCCACCCCCCCCCTTGGACTTTGACACTTCTGGCCAATATTTCCACCCTCTAATCATCCCAGGGCCAGGTATCAAGCTAAGGATAGCCCCTATGGCCTAAAGCCACAGAAATTATTTAAACCAGCCAATCGTAAAGCTGTTTAAACCTGGTTACCCTGCTTTGCCCATTCCTTCCCAAGAAAAACAAACAAAGGCCTTCCTGCAATTCCCGCTGCACTTCCTCTGCCTACTGACCCTGTTGCTTCCTTGTGTGGCACCCCTGCATGGTGTAGGGTGCTGTGCCTCCTGTTTCTAGGGATTTGTGAGTATAAAAATTTCTTCAAAACACTGTTATTTTATACTATTGCTCTGATTACAAAGCTGTATAATTTGGCCCTAACACTCTTTTCCCCATAAGGCTTGTAGTACAAATTTTGCAGACCATGAATTCTTCTAAGAAGTCAAAGTGTCAAATACTTTAACTATGGTTAAGTAGCTAGAGATCTACTGTAGATGGTACCTGGTTGTACTTTAAAAGATGTGCACCTGGGAGAGAATTCGGGACTGGGTAGATGCCTGTGACTTCATCTTAGTAAGATGTTTCCTTGAACAATGACATATTTCAAATACTTAACCTTGGTCTGAAAGAGGTAAAGGTTTTCTTTGGAAGTTTTATGTCCTCTGTCTGCCAAGGACATTACCAGGACTAAAGAGTTTATGGCAGATGCCTCTTGGATGCCAGAGCGTGGTGTGTATCATCAATATATTAGACCAGAATTATAATGCTGGAGACAACTACATTTAGATCTCTTTTTAAAGAATAAGAAAAGTTGGAGGGCAATTCACAGTAGCCTTGAGTGAGTCTAAATCAGATATACGGCCACCCTTAATAGATGAAAGAGAACAATATTGACTCTCTTCCTTCCATAGTTAAAAGTTTCAATGCTGATGCTAACCTGTTTTTAATGCTCCTTCCCAGCCCCTACCAAGAAATCTCGACCACTATAATTTTGTCCTTCTGCCATGTCTCCCCAGATATTTTATAGATACTTACCTTATATAGCTAAAAACAAATGGTGCTAAACAAAACATTCCACAAAGTCTTTTTTTGGCCCTTTCTTTACTTATATCTCTTAAAGAAGCCTTAATGAGGAGCCAGAGGAGTTTTGGGGGATAGGTTCAAACCTACGGTTCTGGCCTAACCATAAGTTCTGGAACTTGAATTTAAAGAGATATGCTCAATTAGGACTCCATGTAAATCAGAACATATACATACCAAAATATGGTCAAGTACACCAGGGCGATTCCATAACCCAGACAGGCCCCTTCTGGCCAAAACTTCAAAGACCTATACATATGTACACTGATGCTTAAGAAGTGTGCACTGAGATTGGCTGTTGTGGACCTATGACCACACTTCAGAATAATAATGCTCTGTATTCCTTTATTCAGGAGAGAATTCCAATTAAGGTAACCAAATACTTGTAGTTCAAAGTTTCTCATATACCAAGATGCATTAACATGGTCATGTGATATGGTTTCAGATTATTGATTTTTTTACTATTAAGTTTTTTTTCTACATGCTCCTAGAATAGTGCTTGTCATATGGTAGGTACTCCATGAATTTGAAAAAATAAGTGAGAAAATTAATGACATTTGTAGTAAACTGTACAACATATATTCTATTTTATCATAGTCAGTGGAAATAAGTTACCAAACTACATCTGGACAATTTGGTAATATGTGAGACAAAGGCTAATATGACATATTCCTTAAAATAGGATCATCAAAGATTCTATTTCAAAATAAACTGCTTATAATATTAGAAACAATGATCTTATAAACACATATATGTAGGCTACACTTAGATTTAGCTTATAAAGCTTAACACCTAAGTATACCTGAAAACAAGAAGCTTACATAAAAAAACCAATATCTTTTTTATATTACAGTATGTATGGATCATTATTCTTTTAGACAGAAGCCACTGTCTTTTAACTACTCTGTTTTTTCATGTTTTCTCTTGACATGTCAACGCAATCCCCTCTTTGGAGTTTAGAGGTATTTATGCTTCAGTTATTGTTGTATTAAAAAAGTATTCTTAATGCGCTTACTCACCCTCCTAAATTAGACAATTCACTAGAACGGGGCAGTGTATTAGGGTACAGACCTGGTAGATGTGGTGATAAAAGAAAGGCGAAGTCCTTTTTTAACTGAAATAGGATGCAAGGTATCAGCTAAGTGGGAGGCAGAAATAGAAAATGTTGCAAGTTTGACAGGACAAAGTATGAAATAATTGTCTAGGAATGTAGTAATATGAATGGACTATGAAAATGTCTTAGGAATTTATGTGAGTCTCCATGGTTGTCTTACTTGCCTAATGCAATGATCATTATTTTTATAATGCCTGATAGTCTGTAATTGCCTATCATTAATATTTTACATCTTAAGATATGTCTCCAGAGTGCTATGAATATCATCTCCTAAAAACACAGCTCTGACTGGTTTTCTCCTAAATGAAAAGCATCTAATGGCTCTGATCTTGTGTAAACTCCTCGGGATAATATCCTTTTAAGTCTAAACCTTACCTTATGTTTCTAGGTTTGTCCTTTATCACATTATCTCCACACATTCTACATTTTCAGCTCTAAAATTACAGAAGTTCTTAAAATATTTCACTTTCATGCCTCTGCTTTCATTCTGACTAGTATTCCCTTTGCCTGGAATATCCTTCTTGCCTTGTTAATCCTTTGAAATTCTATTCATTCTTTATGATTCAGCTCAAATGCTATAACATTCATCCATTCAACTCACATTTAAATGCCTAAAGTGTGTCAGGCTCTGGGGATATAAAACAAGAAAATAGATAGTGACATACTAATATAACAGAATACCTGTTCAGCTGTTCGGATGAATGAACTAGAGTTACATAACATTCACAAATCTTAAAAACAACGTTAAGTAAACAAGCTAGCTGCAAAAGGTTATATACATTACTGATTGTTAAAAATTATATAAAACAGCACTGTATATGCAATTAAAATTAAAACATAAAGGTGCTTGAGAGCATGGTTATTTTGGGCAAGAGGGAACAAACTGGGATGGGGTATAGCTGACAAAGGGCTTCAATTACTTATATAATCCCTTATTCCTCCAATTTAGTGGTGAGTACACATGTATTATAATTTTGTTCCTATCTTTTGTCTAAAATAGTCGATCTTTAAAAAGGATTTATAAGGCTTGATGCAAATCTGTCATACAACCACTAACTTGAAATGACCTTGCATCTGTTGCATTCCCCTTTGTTTCCCGGACTGACATTAGGTACGCTAGGCCTTAACATTAGGAACTGCCAGGTACCAGGTTTAGGTAGATTAGAATGCGCCCACTTCTCTGGAGATTCCTGACTGGTTCTCTCCTATCCTCCAGGGATCCAACTAGGACTTCAAAGAACTCCGACCTGACCCCCTCAGCCGACCCTAGAACATCTCCCTTCAGATCCCGACTGCTGCCCTCATCCACTCTCAATTCATGCCCTGAGCAAACTAGAATGTGTCTCCCGGCAACGAACCCTGTAATGTCTCGCTTAGCGGACTCTGGTTGACTCCCATCAGAGGTTTCCTTTCTTTCCCCTCACCTGCAGCCCAGCCTCTACGACCCAGCCAGGACCAGCCACCGCAAGCCTCACGTCTCACCGGTGGAAAGACAACCCAGCTGGTCCCCGGTTCTGTCCACAACACCACTTCCGGCCTAACCTCAGAAACCCCACATCGCAGCCGGAAAAAGGCTGGATCGACTCTCTGCGCATGTGCGAAGCCGGGTTTTCAGAGGGCCGTGGGGACGGTGCCGATCTTACTTTTTCGCCTCCCGACGAGCTCGCGACAGTCTCGCGGTAGTTCCTCTTCCCGCGGGAATTATTTGAACGCTCCGGCGGCAACTGCGCCCTGGGTACCCAGAGGCCGAGTCGCTGGAGGCAGAGCCGGCTTTGTGCGGAGCTCGGCCTTGGGGTGGTCTTGCCAGCTGCAGTTGAGCGCGGGCAGGGCTTTTCCCGGCAGAGTCTTGGCGCCGTGGGACCGGAAAAGAGGCCTTTTCCGTTCAATTAAGGAGGCCTTTCGGCTGGCGCAGCAGCCGCACCAGAACGAGGCGAAGCTGGTGGTGGCGCTGAGCTGCACCTACCGCACGGTAAGCGCGGCCGGCCCCGTTGCCCCTGGCCTCGGCCGCCGCCCCTCGCCCTCCCCGGCCCATCTAGGACACCAGTTAGGGCACTAAAGTAATTGACAGTCTTTCTACAAGAATTATAGAGAATTTTGAACTTTGGTATCATTTTATCTGTTTACCTATTTAGAGGACCGTATTATATTTAATAATCATAGTAGTACTTGTCTCTTTAGGTTAGCAGTTCATTGATTTTCAACATGGGTCTGCATTTCATTAGATTTAAAATATATATATTAAATGTTTATATTTCTGCCCTTTAGAGGTTGTAACAAAACACATTTCTTGACCATTAACAAAATAAGTCAGTGGAAATAGATGCATCTTTGTTACAAACCAAATACTTTTCTAGTTAAATTTATTGTCTTTTATTATAACTTAATTAAAGAAATAGAAAAAAATGTTAGGTACATAAGCTTGAATTTCAACTCTGAAACTTCATGAGACTTTAACAGTATTTCTTTTCCTCAGGCTGCTAATTTCTTTACTTGTAGAAATACACAGATTTTTAAAAAAAATTTTACTTCTCCCACTGGATTTTTAAAGCCATTTTTTGGTTAGGAAATATTTATTTTACGTGGCTCACACTAGGTAAAAAGAAATGCACTGAGAAAGTTCACCTCATCCCTAGTCCCCACCCATTAATGCTGTTTCTGCTGGTCTTCTACAGGTAACCATTTCTAATTAGTTTCTTGTTCATCCTTCCAGTCTTCATGTGTAGAGGATATTACAAAAGGCATAAAGGCCTGGGTAAAGGAACTGTGAGAAAGGTGGAAATCTGGCAGTCCTTCAAACAGGACTTGGGATATAAATGTTGATCAGCCAGCTGCATACAGCAGGCTTTGGAATGCATGGGAGTGTGTAACTGTTGTTGGGTCCTTGCCATTTTCTTTATAGCCTTAAGGAGTCACGAGAAAATACAAAAATAAATATGGATATATTAAATATCACTAACTAGATTTCTTTAGAATAATGTGTTTAATGGCACCACAGATTTTATCTATATGTTCTTTCCAAACATTCTATCTGTATGTTCTTTGCTTTGACCTTGCATGCCTTTCTCTGCAATAAATACAGAGGTTTGGAGAGTAGGAAGCTCTTTGAAACACCAAGAGTCTCTCCTACTTCAGCCTGAGATTGTGATCTGGAGCATTCTTCCTTGCTCCATAACACTGGTAGAGACCCTGGTTGATCTCTACATCATGGAAATACAAACAAATGAGAATACACATTCTTATTTCACTCCATCCTTCAATATTTTCTACATTGTTCAGCACATTTTTTTTCACTTAACAGTGTATTCGGGATATTCCTCCTTATCACTATTTCTCATTTTTTTCCTGTGACACATTGTAGATATACTCTATAGTTTACACAGTCTCTTTTAGGTGGACACTTGCATTGTTTCTGGTCTTTGGATATTAAAAACAATTCTTCAGTGAATGCATGACATTTCCTACATTTTCAGGGGCAACTGTCAGATTCTCAAAAGAATTGCCGGATCAAAGAGGAAGTGTATTTGTAAATGTGATAAATATTGACAATTACCCTTCATAGAGTGGTCCATTCTATA